CTATGACATAGTAGAATATGGTAGTTTCCCAAAATAAGGGGACCCCAATATAGACCCCAAAATACTATAGTCCTTATTATTGGGACCCCCAAAAGGGTACCCCTAATTTTGGGAAACCCTAATCCCTATAAATCCCTATATACCCTCAGTTTCCATTTCATTTTCCATGTTCTTTTCCATTTGATTCTCCATTATAGTGGGTACCCCTAATTATGGGAAACATCTAAACCCTAAACCCTAAACCTTAAATAGTAGCTTCCATTCTCTTTTCCATTATCCCATTATAACCCTTATATATTTAGGGTACCCAAAAAGGGATCATAATTTTGACAACCACCCATATACTATAAGGAGCATCCCCCAGCCTCCTGGATGAGCTTCTTCATCGAAGAGACCCGGGTCCTAGGCTGCTTTCATCCAAATAGCCCAATGCCGGTAACAGATGTACAGAGTTTAGGGTCCAATGTAGGTATTATTCGTATACTTGGGTCCCTATAGGGCAAGTCTGATTCCACGATGTGATTCCTTGATCGCTTTTTCGTCCTGTCTCAGTATGAGCTATATTTGCTGTTGTTGTTGGTGGTGGTGCTTGTGGTGTTGGCTTTGGGTTGGTGTTGGCAGAGTTGGGTGACTGCTGATCATGTTGTATTTTTGCCGCTGTCATGGCTGCCGCCTTCGCCGCCGCCGCTGCGGTTGCGGCTGTTGAGGTCGCCGCTGCTAAGTGGTAGTTTCCCCAAATACTAAAACCCCAATATAAACCCCAAAATACTATAGTCCTTATTATGGGGACCTCCAAAAAGGTACCCCTAATTTTGGGAACCCCCCAAGTCTGCGACTCATGTCCTTTGTGAAGGTGTTGTTTGTACGTACTGACATCTTTTGTGGTACGGCAGCACTTGCCATAGTTGAGCTCGAATATCTTGAAGATGTTCCTTGAATGGTAAATTTCGGCTATAGTAGTTTCCATTTTATTTTCCATTATCCCAAATATCACCCCAATATATACCCTATTATCCCTACATAATCCCCATATAATCCCTATAACCCCTAGTTTCCATTTTCTTTTCCAACACTGACTCTTCGCCTCGGTAACCAATCTTTGCGCAACACTCGTGATGCAAGGAGAACCTGGCTTACCATAGACGAAGTACATCGCGAAACACAACATAGAGGGTGACACAGGAATTAGATTGGGTTATACAGGGAGTACATTATAGCTCCTTGCGCAGCTTCTCTTGTTGCAACTTTGGCTGACTATTCTTGAGCAGCTACCTTGAACAAGCCTCTTCTCAAAGGTAACATGCTGTCTTTTAGCGCAGCATCCCGCTGCTCGTCAGAAACGAGGCCACCTCCAGATTCGTTAGTGCTGTTGGCGGGCTTCTCGATCTTTGGGCTTGGGGGTTTGAAGGCTTTGTTTAAAGGTTTAATGCCTTGAATTAGAACCCTCAGGCTTGTACATTGAACTTATCTACACTGAATGGCATGCAAGGTGAAGCCACGAAACCCTAAACCTGAATCCTGCCTGCTGAAAGGGGCCCACTGGCGATGTTGCATGTACGTACCAGTCCTGACCCAAAGTGCATACCCTCAGCAAGTGTGAGACTTTTTTGGGAAATCCTCTCCAGCCCATAAACTCATCACCTTCATATTCCGAGCCTCGAAGGCTAAACGAAGGCCTTGTGTTTTAGCACGTAAAATTCACTTGACAGGTTTCAGGTCTCAAAGGGGAATGCCCTTTACCAATCATTTGCCCTGTGCGTAGCTCTTCCTGCTGAGACCAAGAAAGCCCAAAACCCCTTAGTTGAGGAAATGTCCTTCAATCGTACTAGGGATCCTAGTATGATCTAGGGTATATTCATTAATTTGAATTAATAAAGCCATATCGGGCTCCCTAAACCCTAAACCCTAAGCCCCAAGAAACGACTGCCGACTGCCTCGCGACCCGACAAGGTTACCACCGTCACCTGGGTTGCTGTGAAGGAACTTAAAATAAGTCACAATAACATTGATATATCGGGTTTAGGGCTGTAGGGCTTGGGGTCTAGGGCTTAAGCTACCATAATCTGGCCATATAATGAAAATACTAATACAGTAGGGTTTCCTTGTTTTAGTAACTTAGTTAAGTTCCTTAACAGCAACCCAGTCACTTGGATGCTCTCCTCGCCGGGGGGCACAGGGGCGTCTTCTGGCTCCTTCTCGCTAGTTATGCCTGGCAGCTCTGTATTAAATACTGCCCCGCCCCTCAATGTTTAGGGTTTATCCACACCTAAACCCTAAACCCTAAACCGTAAACCCTAAACCCTAAACCCTAAACCCAGAGAAAGGGATGGGGTTGGGGTGGGGGGATGCCAAGCCTAGACCCTAAACCAGGAAGGATTTGCAAGACTAAAGTTTCAAGGCGGAAAGAAAAGCCCCATATGGGAGGGTCCTGGTGGCCCGACATAAGGCCTAGGAACCTTTGAGGTTTAGGGTTTTAGGCGTTTAGGGATTAGAGGTTTAGGGCGTTGAAGGCATAGCAAAACTGGAATGCAAATACTCAAAAAGCTGCATCTGCTCACTGAATCTTGACCCTGAGCGGTTCCGGTTTAAGGGCGAAACGTCGGAACCCGAAAACCCTTCTACCCTGAAGCCAGACGCCTACGCCCAAACATATGAAGCCGTACGCCCCACACGCGGAGTCGTGTAATGTAGGGGCCTAAGACATTTCCAAGTTCAGTTTTTCAGGTCTACTTGAAGTACCCGTATCATACATAAGTATAAAAGGAATGCAGGGCCCTAATGTTGGTCAGTATTTGAGCTATAGTCCAAACTCCTAGTATCCCAATTAGTAACCCCTATAATACTGCCTAATATAATCCCCTAAAAAGCCCCTAGACCCTAAACCCCAAACAAAGGGGTTATACAATACTTCATAAGCCCCCCTTAAAGCAGTTTAGACAATAGCTCATTTAGGCCCCGGAAGTAGATCCGGGGTGCTGGTTGGGGAAATTGCATCTACTCCTTCCTCAGCCATGGCTGGCGTCTCGGACGGCGTGCTGTCCTGGGGTGCAGGGGCTAGGGTTTGGGGTTTAGGGGTTAGGGTTTGGGTTTAGGGTTTAGGGTTTGGGTTTTAGGGTTGCCGAGAGATGTTTCCAGGATTTGGTTGTAATGTAAGTGCCTACATGCTGTCAACCGGGTTTGGAAGAATATCAGGCAACAGTCATAAGGATTATAGGACACAAATACTAGCAATTATGCCGTTAGGAAGCACGCCAAAAGCCGCCTGTGACGAACTAAGTTGGAAGTCTGCGAAACCCAAATACACGGAGAATTCTGGGAAACCCTCACACGTGCAAGTCCTACCTTGCCACGGAATGATGCGCCGAGGAGTCATGCAGCCCCATTCATCTTGGAGCAGACACAGAGAGCCGAATATGGCTCAATTAAGATATAGGGTTTAGGGCTGAAAGAAAACGATCTCGGTCAATTTGATGGCAGGTGCTCTACTTCAAAGGTCAAAGAGTGCTTTGTGACACCAGCGGCTATTGTTCGTCCAATATTGATCGGCGATTTCTCTTTCCGCAGGGAGCCCAATACTCTTTAACTAAGGAGTATTCCTGAAAATATATTAGGGATCTTAGTACCATTCAGGGTAAGGGATATTGGACGCTAAAACCCTACACCCTAAATTCTATATTCCCTAGTTAAGGCATATTGGGATCTCCTTAGTTAGGCCATATCAACTATAGACAATAAACTCCTAGTATCACCCTTCGTGACCCTATATTACTCCCCCATATACTGCCCGCGTCCATGATCCTGCTTGTATGGGTAGGTGGGTGGCACCGGGAACTCTGGGAATTTCACACATTGACATGCTGACGGCGAAAGCTTCCCTTGAGCCCGGAGAATGGCAGACTCAGTGTTAGCTAGCGATTCCTGACCTTGGGGATTCTCTATAGATTTTAGAAAAATTTGGGATTGAATTAATGGCAGTGTAAGAGTACCTCTTTAGAATATGTGAAATTTCGCATTGCTACATCCTTGAAATCAATGTGAACCTGGTCGCCGGAGTCCATTCCGGGAGTAAACTTAGCTGTAATTCGGCACATGGCGCGCGCCACTATGTCTCTTATAAGCCCCAAACCCTAAACCCCTAAACCCTAAAGGCCTAAACTATCTTGGTTCAAAGAGCTTCAGAGAGTTGTTACCCAGACATCCTTTAAGCTCTCAACACCTCAACCCTCAAAACCCCAACCCTACAAAACCCTTACCCATCCAAATTCAGACTTGAAGTTTAGGGTTTAGGAATTAAGGTTTCAGGCGGGCCCTGAGGTTTTGCCCTCCCCCCCTCATATGAGCTATAGGCTAAACTCCTTAAAGGGGGTTTATATAGGGGATTACATAGGGGACTACCATAGGGCTTATTAAGGGGTATACTAGGAGTTTAGACAATGGCTCATATGCTACTTTGGATCCTTACTGCCCATGTTTCATTGCGTGCTGGAGGCCAAGTTCTCATTAGGATATGCTACCAATGTTTTCATTATCAGCAACAAGGACTGTTGTATGGTCGTCCACAGCGATGCGATAGGTTTCACAACGTGGTGTATATACAGGTCAAGAACCTTGCCTCAAGGGTCCCAGGACTCAATTAACAGGTGCTTCCTCAACCTCAACAAGTTGGGCCCCTAAGTCTAGGGGTGTAGTCCAGAGCGAGGAGATAGGGGAGGGTGTATTTATGATAAGCTAACCTATTAAAAATGGTAGGATCACATATACCTAAAAGGTTAAAGGGGCAGCCGGTTGTTCAGTCGGGGTACTCCGGCTCTTACTACTTCTTGGTTTAATAGAAAATGAAATTGCATTTCATCCCAATAGTAGCCCCTCGGACGGCCGATACAAAACAATTTCCACTGTCTCCACACCCCAGAGCCAAAACCCAAAGTTGTTGAGCGCGCTTCCATCTTCTTTACAACTCCTTGCCTACTTACCAGCAAGTAAGCTTAGAACACAACCTGGGCTCAAGGAATAGGATTTGTTGTAAAGTGCCTCCAAAAGGCCCGAAACCTTCAACCCCCAAACCCTTCGAGACTGGAGCCTTGGGATGGGAAACTGGTGGTAAGGGATTCGAGCTTGCTATGACATCCTCTTCCTGCAGCATCAAAAAAAAACGACCCCCCTAATAGTGAACAGTTACCATACATTGTCTCATACCGCCCCGGGAATACTCAGCATTAGGAATCATTAGCGGGGTTGGGGGGGTCTGAATAAAGGCAGAGGCTAGGGCAACTAGGTCGACTGCAGAGGGTAAAGCGCAACGCTGAGCATTCCATACGTGCTTGATCATGCGTGCCCTAAACCCTAAACCCTCATGATCCCATTGCTCCTATACCTCTATGAGTCCCTGGGCTATCTTAGATACCCCGGGCGGCCGAGGCCCAAAAAGAAGTTGCAGAGATGATGACTTCATGACATGGATCGGAGAGCATATTTACATATTGATTGTTAGGGGGTCGGGGGTATTTTTACAGAAGGAGATTTGGCCCTTTTTCGGGGTGGTCCAGAAAAACAAAACACTACAGTGGATACTAAAAATCTTGCATGACCCTTAAGGCAGTAGAATATTGAACGAAAGTCATGCAGGATATCTTAGTATCAACACTACGTCCCTAAACGCGAATCCTGACTCAAGGCCGCTTCTTTGCTCACTCACTCTTGTCAGCAGCGCCTGAAGAAATGTCTTCAAAGCCCTGTCTGACCATGCCGTGCTCGTCAAACACCTCAGGACCCCACATCACAAAAACATGGCCAGGAAGTCCAAATATGATTTAAAGTATATTCCTTAATTAAGGGGTTTTGGGCTCCCCATAGTAGGGTCAAACACCTGGGGACCTCAAATCCCAAAAACAAAGCTACAGTAGGTAGTCCAAATATGATTTAAGGTATTGTATTCCTTAAGTAAGGGGTATTGGGCTCCCCATACTATTAATGGACACGGGTTCCTAATTAGGAAATACATGAGGGACTATACTAAACTACAGCAGGACCTCTATGTCCACCCTTAATGGTCCCTTGGAAATCCTCATATTGACAGTAGCTCATATGGTAGGACTTAACTTTAAGGTCCCCCACATTTGACACATAAACTGTACACCCGCCAATGTTCCGAAGGAACATGACATGCAACCACCACCAATCATAATAAAGCTTGCTTCATATGCCTTGTACATTACATTGCATGCCCCAGGAAACGTCAAAATCACATTAGGGGCCCATGTTTGGGACCTGCACCCCTATCACTCCTTTGACAGGCTACTAAGATTATCCCTGTACTTACCGGTTGTTAGCAGGGAATGGCGGAATAGTTCCCTATAGCGACCCATAATGCAACCCCAATAAGGTGGTAGTTACCCACTCCACTTTCTAATAGCTGCAAAGCAAATTCAGCAAATTAACTCCACACCTTATGTGTCCAAAAAAATGGCTCTATCTTATGTGACATTTGCTGTTTCACTCGTTTTCCATTCCATAAGCCCTATGTCAACCCTAAATCCTATACTCTAAACCCTGCATCCTAAACCCTAAACCCTGAACCTTAAATGCTAAGCCCTAAACCCGCAACCCTAGATCCTAAACCCTTAAACCTAAATCCTAAGCCCTAAGCCCTAAACCCTCAACCCGCAACCCTAACCAAAATTCAGCCGGAGATCCAGAAGCTCTAGACCGAGATCCTTCGCAACCTGCAGGACGGCTGCCTTCTTCTGAGGCTCCTCGGGCTCCTGGTAGGGGTTCAGGGTTTAGGATTTAGGATTTGGGGTTTAGGGGGTTTCCATTTTCTTTTCCATTATCCCTTTATAGCCCCAATATAACCCCTAATATAACCCCTTGTATACGGGCTCCTTGTAGGGGTTTAAGGTTTACTGGGAGGGTCAGGGGGACTTAGTAATACTGGAAAAGAAAATGGAAGCTACTATATTATGTAGGGAAAAGGGTTTAGGGGTTTAGGGGTGTAGGGTATAAGGTTTACAGGGTTTAGGGGCTGTAGGTTTTATAGGGTTTATAGGGTGTAGGTTTAAGGTTTAGGGTTTAAAGGGTGTAGGGTCTTGGGTTTGGGGT